ACTTTCTTGCTCCCTAAGCCCTTAGAACCTGAAAACACACAAAAGAAGCATAAAGGACTAAAATAACTAAAGAAACATAACGTAAATGTACGAGAACAAGCTAAGTAAGTCGCCTAAATATGCTCCTATCAGCACGTGAGGCTCTTGGCCATGACCTAAGATGTTAATTGTTTTGTATGTGCAATTTTGTCCAAGAAGAAGAAGGTGGAAATTTGCATCCACAAGATTTATCCGATCAAAGTACAAATCTGTGAGTAAAGGAAACCTCAAGTTTCAACAAAATGCTCCCACATGTGTGGTGATCAAGTATTGTCTTGAGTTGTATGTTGTTTGATCCCTATATTTTTCCAACAACACACATTCAAGGGCAATCTATTGTACACTTTGCAATAATCTTCAACATTTCATTCCTAGAAAAATGAATCTCCTCATATCATTTCAGCAAAGAGTACATGATCATTGCCCTCTTGAATTGCACACTATCCTTGAAAATAAGGCCTAGTGTAAGCTGTGGATTCTTCATGTTTTTTTCATTAAACTGTAAATAATGCTTTTTTTATTTATTTTTGGCCTCCTTCCTCATTCTCAGAGTATACACTTTCTAGATCATCTAAATTATAATATGGACAATGAATCAAATTCACTTCCCCATATCCAGCTTCTTCAACCTCTTTTTACCTTTTCTTTTCTTGTATTTGATCTTCTCCATCATTTATCTTCTTCTCTTAAAGTGCTCTCCTTAGTTTGCCTTCTTTTTCTTTTCTTAGATTGCCTTATCTTTTTTTGCTCATCTTGCACCTCATTTACTTGCTCATGCCCATTAAACTTGACAAACCTTGAATTATCTCCATCAATCTTATACTCATTCTTTACTAAATAACTCTTATTCAACATCTTCTTCATTGTCTTCTTCATAAATGATAGGCACATCAAAGAATGCATCATCATCATCCTCAACACCTTGATTGCCTTTTTCAACATGTTCATGCACATTTTCATCATGTACATCTTCTTGAGTCACACATGCTTCCATTGGTTAAGAATTCAAACCAACATCTTCAGCAATTGTACATCTTCTTGAGCACATTCTTCAACACTTCCTACCTTAACATTTGGAGCACTTCCTTCCTGACATCCTCATTTGGTCCTTCAATTGCTAGCAAGCTCTTCCTTTCTCCCAGTTTCATAGTCATTTCCCTAACAAAATCTTCTTCATCACTTAATTCCTCTATCACCACTGAACTTAAACCAATGTGCTCCATAGACTGAACAAACTGTTGTTCTTGAGTGATAGCTTATTCTGGGGACAATTCTTCAATGTACATTTCGATAACTCGAACATTAGGAACAAAGGTGCACATCGTTTGTACATCAGCATCACTCTTAATCTTCCTCAAACCATTAAAAATCTCCATGTTGGGAATCACATAGTAGTAGCTTATAAACATTTCTTTATATCCTAATGCTTCCATCGTATCATCAACCACTGGCAGTGACATTAGGTCTTTGTCACAACCATCTATGTATGATATTTTCCCCCCAAAGTAGAATTATTTGCCAACTCCCCACCATGACGCAATCGAATAGAAAATTACTCTGAAAAAACTGAAATTCACAAAAAACAACCCAGTTAAAACCATAGAATAAACAAGGCACCACATAAACAGTTTAATAACAACTACAATGAACAAATCACCAAAATCCAAAACATTACAACATACAATTAACAAAGAGCCAAAATGACCACATTATCCAAACAAACCCTAGAATAAACAAAGCACCCCATAAACAATCAACAAGCCCTAGAACAAACAAAGCACCAAAATTCAAAACATTACAATATTCAACTAATAAAGAACCAAATGACCACATTATCCAAACAAACCCTAGAATAAACAAAGCATGCCCAACAAAATCCTAGAATGAAAAACTAACAAAACACCAGTATCCACAATTTCACATTAAAAAAAAACAAGAGCCAATTTTTTTTTATTAAACTTCGCACCAAAGCACAGTATAAAAGCACTAAAATCAACTAGACCACATTATCCAACATAGGACCATATTATCCTAGAATAAACACCACTCAAAGGACCACATTATCTAACATGTCACATCCCGGCCCGGGGCGGATCACTTCCCGGGCCCGCTCCACCACCGTAGCACGATATTGTCTGCTTTGGGCCTACCATTGCCTCACGGTTTTGTTTTTGGGAACTCACGAGCAACTTCCCAGTGGGTCACCCATCATGGAATTGCTCAAGCCCCCTTCTCGCTTAACTTCGGAGTTCCTACGGAACCCGAAGCCAGTGAGCTCCCAAAAGGCCTCGTGCTAGGTAGAGATGAGAATGTACATATAAGGATCACTCTCCTGAGTGATGTGGGATGTCACAATCCACCCCCCTTAGGGGCCCGACGTCCTCGTCGGCACACCACGACCAGGGTTAGGCTCTGATACCAAATTGTCACATCCCGGCCCAGGGCGGATCACTTCCCGGCCCACTCCACCACCGTAGCACGATATTCCCTGCTTTGGGCTTACCATTCCCTCACGATTTTGTTTTTGGGAACTCACAAGCAACTTCCTAGTGGGTCACCCATGATGGAATTGCTCAAGCCCCATTCTCGCTTAACTTCGGAGTTCCTACGAAACCCGAAGCCAGTGAGCTCCCAAAAGGCCTCGTGCTAGGTAGGGATGAGAATATACATATAAGGATCACTCCCCTGGGTGATGTGGGATGTCACATAACATATCAGTAAGTATTTGGAATAAACAAAGAACAAATCTCACCCATCGCCAACAAATATTTTGGAATCAACAAAATCCAGAACAACATGAATCAAAGATAGGAAGCAACAAACCACAAAACGAAGTGAAAAATGTTCTTACAGTAGGTTGGTGTCGTTTCCTCGGGATCCTCACGCACTCCACCCCATTTTGAAGCCTTCGAATTATTTTTCAATCCTTCGAAACCAATGAAACCCATGATGAAATTGTGTCTTCCAACACGAATGAACAGAGGGAAGCTAGTCAAATGAAATTAGGGTTTTTGATACTTTCCTTATCTAATTGATTGTTGTTAGGAGTCGGGTGATGTAATTTGGGAAGTTAAGGTTAGGGTTCTTGTTCAATTTGGGAACTGGAATAGACCAACATGAATTGCACGGTTGGGGATTTCGGTTTCAAATCGAGTGTATGATTTTCGGAAACTTTTTTTCTTTTTTTTTTTGATTTTTTTAATTATTATACACATGTCATCCTCTGAGATGATCCACATGTTTCAAAAAATAACGTAGAGTTGCATCTAAGATGAAGTGGGACCCAATATATGCCACGTCAGCTTTTTGACGAACCAATTGACGAACAAACAAACGGAGGTCTGACATTACAATAAATCTGTACAATAGGGCGTGAAATTGAAATGTTTTAAAGATGAGGTATGCCATTGTTTCGACCAATAGTTGAGGTATGTTTTTGTAATTTAATAGATTTGTTTATCTTTTACGTGTAACTATTAGCCCGTTGGCGCTTATCCGTTTTAAGGCTTCTAATGTCAAAATATGTCACAAGTTGGAGTAAAGACATTATGCTCATGTATGCCTAACTTGAGAGATACTACTAGAAAAAGGGTTTAGTCAAAAACATCTGTGAACTGATTGTTAGATGTCAAAAAAAGAAAATCAATAATCTCAGCATCCAACTTCTATTTGATTAAATGTCGACCAATCTTAACGAACTTTGTATGATTATGTTGCACTAAATTTTAAAGGCAGGTCCATGCCCATTTTGTTCATTTTCAAACGCCTAAGGATTAATCGGAGCAGTGCTAAGCGGAGATTTTTAGAACAATGGTATAAATACACCATTCTAGGGTTCATCTCTAGTAACGCAATTATCGCTCACTTATTATCTTGCCTACTGCTTGAGTCTCATATACTTGCTTACTAACTTAATCGTTGGAGATCATTTGATCCGTACATCCCACCCTTGGGGGCCTTTGGCTACTCATGGTTATTTGTCTTTTGGCATATAAACGGATTTGTAACAGCTTTTACCTACAATTAAAGAGAACTATCATTACGTATAATACTAGTACGGTTTTATGTTACATAATGAACATCATATATACAATATACTTCCTATTTATTTATTTATTTTTTTTAGTCACACACTACGGTTGCCACTTATAGGACTTAGTATTCTTCTTCACTTGTAAGCGAAAGATTTTAAGTTTGAATATCGTGAATGACGAGTTCGATACTAATTATTTATGTGACTTTTAGTTTAAATATATTGTTACCTACCACAGTTCAAGTGGTGTTGATCATAGTTTGAAAAACAAATTGATTTATTGACCTCAATTGGAGAAGAAAAGTTATCTTAAATTAACCTTTAAAAGTGTTATGTTTAATATGCATTAATCATCTCATTATCATACACACCATCAACATCCATTCAACTCACCAAACCTCCTTTTGTCTTGACCACAAGGACCAATCAGACCGCCTCTATTAATTTTCGTTAAGAATTTTTGCCGCTTAAAAGAGATAAAAACTTTAAATATAAAATTGAAAGTTGACAATATATGTGTTTTGACATCTTTTAAACTTTTGTTTGCCATTTGATATGTTAAATTAAATTATTATTTTATTACGTTAAACTCTTATGATATATGTTTTAAATAAAAAACAATTAAGAAAAGATTTGAAGGAGAGTTCAAATTTTAGCAACAAGGGCAAAGACTGCCAATCCATATCAGATTTAGTTTTCTATTGCAAAACATTGTTGCTATCTTTTTTATTGTTAGTGCTGATATGGACATTTTGACATTTCCTTTGAAGATGCTCTAAAAATTCAATTCAAGTAATGAAAACTCATGGGGCGTATATGCCAATTCGAATACAAATTGTGGTCAACGAAATTCTTAACCTGTCGTTTATGGGTCTTGCAATGGAGAAAGTATCCATGAAGTGAACATGCGCGCGCGCGCACACCAAACTTTTGAAGACGCCATGGCATCACATTTATAAGCCCAATTTTTTTCTTGGAAAAAAGAAAAAGAACAAGGAAGATGCACGTCCAACGTTAAAAAAAAAACAGTAATAATGCATGCAATGCTCTCTTAGAAAACAAGACCTAGTGCTGGGAAGGACACCCAGAAACAAAGAAACCCTAAAACCCACAGGATGTAATAAAAGAATTAATAGAACAAATAACAGTGTCATCCCCCAGCCCTCTTTATCTACGCAGACACCGCACTAAACTATAGACTTCATCCCCACAAAAAATTTCGCTTGTTCATGTGGAAATCGGTATGAAATGTTTCTAACCTGAGGAACGAATACTTCTGCAACTCCAGAACGACCATAAGCTGGAACTGAGAACAACCTACGACTGTATTCATGTGTCTAATCGCAATTTAACCCGCAAACCTCCAATACGGGGCCATCTTTTGACACAAAGGGATTGATTCGAACCCACATAAGAGTTAATATTGATGCCAGTAGAATGGACCAAACCACAACGATGGTGGGCATCCTATCTTGTTTCCCCAGCAATCCCTTGAGGAAGGGGTAGAGATGCACAATGACCCAGAAGGCAAAAAATAGCCGACCAAAAAACGGACCCCATGAATCATACCCGTTATTGATGGCGTCTGAAATGCCCACGACAACCCCGACTATGTTTATTATTAATAAAGTTGTAGGAGGGATCAATAATGATGTCCACTTGAAGATGTAAAGTTCAGAAAATGCTCCATCATCTCCTGCCTTCGATGTAACTGTGAAGCTTGTGTTAACACCAGCCAAAACCTTGAGTAGACCCTGGAACAGAGCAAAAAGATGTGACGAAGCGCCTCCAATTACCCAGAACTGCTCATTTCTCCACCAGTCATCAATCCCGACGCCACCCCATTGCATCTCAAGGATACCAGTTGCAGCTATGGATATGAAGAGAGCCATGAAAATAATGCTGGCATAGTTGCTTATCTATACATTCAAGTTCAGAAACCAATAGTTAGAACAGGCATGATCAAATATACCAGCTATATAAGCCAAATCAAGGATTTAGCTTTTGGATTAAAAACTGAAGTATTAAAGAGATGTGCAGTTTTACAATGTTAGGCTTTGCCCAAAGTGTACGAGCTACGCACTTGGTTCACAAGATTTTACTGTTAATCCTAATATAGAAAATTGCGCTCACTTCATATTCGAGAGGAAGTTTGATAATTGGTTTAATACCTAATAGACTAACCTTCATTATCATACAACAAGTAACATTTGCACACAAATCACACTAAAAAGATTGAAGACCAGAAAAAAAATCTCATGTTTAACCTAGTTTGTACTGTATTACCCAGTCATTTACCGTGTGAAAGGCATTCTAACATAAGGCCACCAAATTTTAAAGGACAAGTATTGATGAATCTAATAATATGAAAGTGTAGCACATTCAACCTACTAAATATGTTGCTTGAGAACCCAAAATATGCAACTCAAATCAGCATACGTCCTATTATGTTCCAATTAAGCATCTTTCCCACACAACAAATAAAACAGAAAAAAGAGATCAGAGTTACCTCAGGGACAATGAATTTCCCAGTCAGAAGACAGATGGCTGGTAGACTACAATAAACGATCAAGGGAATGGAGGTCCATGGATATACAACTGAGTTTATATATGAAAATCGTTCCAACCATTTCAATCCACTCCCATATGCATACCAGATTGGGCAATGTCTACTAAGGAAGATCTCAACAGATCCAAGGGCCCACCGAAGAACTTGATTTAAACGATCAGAAAGGTTAATAGGAGCTGATCCTTTGAATGCTGGACGTTTGGGTATGCAGTAGACAGATCGCCATCCATGGCAGTGCATCTTAAATCCTGTTAGAATATCCTCAGTAACAGAACCATATATCCAGCCAACCTATTTGAGATCAAAATTAGATTCATTGAGCGAATAAAATATGGATTCCAAGATTATTAGTTTCAAAAACTTTTAACATCTCCCAGTTACGTACTTCCTTTCCCCATTCTGTTTTGTCTTCATAACCACAGCTTATCACTTGGATGGCTTCTTTCAAGAGCGATGCAGGACTGACATCCTGAGGTATTCCACCATTTTCCAAAACTGCAGAGGCTACAAAAACTGGAGACTGTCCAAATTTCTTCTCCAATTTCAGTTGGGACATGGTGGATGTTTTATTGGCTTTTAGTTCTGCAATACCAGCACAACTTAGTTATTCACAGTAAATTTAAAATAAAAAATAAAAAAAGAAAGAAAAAACACCAATAAAAAATAGTCACTTTCTTGGTGCAACCATTACCTTCAATTCCCTCTTCAATATTTTCAAGTGCATGTATCTGCTTTGATGCTTCCCTCTGTTTCAATTTTTTCTTTTTCTCTTTCTTTGACTTTGCATTCTTGTTCTTTCTAGATCCACAACACAGGCAGCACCATTTTGGCCAGCAATTGCAGGTTTTTCTAGGGGGTTTCTTTTTGGTAGGAGCATCGTATCCATAAAGCGCTTGCCTTCTGAAAACACACCCAGTTCCAACATATATTGGTCCTTGTATACCATCTAACCCTTTCATGTTGATCTGTTTTCAATAAGAAATTAGCATTTTTGGTAGCAACAGAAAGTAAAAATATCAAATTAAAAAAGAATCATATACGTACATCAAAGAATACAACATTCCGATTTGAGTATCTATCATGAAGATCAATCCCATCAAATCTTTGAGGGAACTGCACGTAGCAAACTTTCTTCCCTGATGTAGGGTCCATCATGAAACACATAGCTTCTCTGATTGCCTTGCTATTGTTGATGTAGTGATCACAGTCAACATTCAGAATATAAGGAGCATTTGAGATAATTGCTGAGACCCGAATCTTTAGATAAATTTAACAAAAAAAAAAAAATTTGTCAATACTGATCCATAAACATATTACTGACAAAGGATTACGAAAACAACGAGGAGGCTGGAAAGATAAGGAAAAGTAGTCTACTGTAAACAACATAAACATGAAACGGAAGAACTTTAAGGCTTACTAGAGCATTCATTGCACCGGCCTTTTTATGGTGATCAAACCCTGGTCTCTTTTCACGAGAAACATAAATTAGACGAGGTAACTCATATCCTTCAACATCACGAACACCATTGTTACCCAGAAAGACCTGTAAATGAATAGAAATACTAAGAAAAAACTCCAGGTAGGTAATTGGTCACCAAAAATGCCAAATAGCTAAAAACTATTCTAATGTACATGACACTGAAAATGCGCCAGTAGCTCAAATTTGTGTATGCACTTGATATCTTGTGTGTATGTATACAAGTTATACATAAGCATCTTCGGCAATCCAGAGGCACCAATGACTCAACAATTGTGATGAAATAGCATTCACGAGAATAATTATTATAGAACTGACAATTCTACCAAAAAGAAAATGTGTAAAAGAAAAAGTCGTCATCTTGTTGAGTGTACTTTTGTAATCATATCATTAAAATATTGCTCCCAAAAATTTAAAGTATAATCCCACCTGAATCATGCCAGGATGGTCTCGTACATTATTCCCGGGCCAGGGAGTACCATCCTGCATTGTCCAGCCATCCTCAGGAACCTTTTGTGCCAAGGCTACCAAACCATTGATCCTAACTTTAAATTCTTCATATTCTCTCTGGAAAAAAATATAAATTAGAAAGGAAAAAAAATTCATGTTTAATCTTAAGTATTTTACCACAACTCCTAGAAGCAAAAAGCGAAAATCTATTTGAAAATCCATGCATTCAATTCTGTACAAGAAACTGCATGAATAAGAAGATAGTCACAAACCTTCATTGCACGTCTTTCCCTTACAAATGCTGGATGAACTTTATTTTTCAAATAGTCAATCTTTTGACAGAAATACCATTCTGGGGCTCGGGGCTCAATACTAAACTTCTTACAGAAAGGAACCCATTTCCTGGCAAACTCAGATGTCTCAGAGAGAGCTTCAAAAGTAAGCATGGCAGCACCATCATCCGAGACATAGCACACAACTTTGTCAACTGGATAGTCAACCGCAAGGATGGACAGAACCGTGTTTGCAGTGATTAGTGGAGGTTCTTTCAGAGGGTCAACTGTACTAACAAATATGTCTACACTGGCTAATTCAGATGGCTTCCCTTCTTTTTCATACCTAGGAATGTGGGAAGCAAATCATGAGACAACTTATTCCAACTTATGTGGGAATCCCGAAAGCAAGTGGAAATGGTTAAAATAAAATAAAATCTAACAAAACATGAGGACAATACAGCGCTAAATAAGTTGGCCCTACCTAAGCGATAGTCGATCTAGGTATGTTTCTCGCTTTATTGGATGCCATTTGGGGAATTGATCCAGAATCCATGATATAGCAAACCATATTTCACATATGACTGATGTCAACCACAAGCCATATGCATTATTAACTGGATGGAGGATTCTATAATGAAAGAATAAGCCAAGTATTACAAGGCGGAGTATTATTATCATTCTGTATGGATTTATCTTGCTTGAAGGGATGGGTAACTTTCTTGAAAGTGGCTGCCTGCCTTCATCCATCCTGATAAAGTAAATCAAGTAAAGCTTGTAAATAACTAAATATACAAAAAAGTAATGAGCAGATGACGGCTACATAATAGAATCATGAAAAAGAATAAACAATCCACCAACATCATTGGTGAACTACCAATTATGAACAACGAGGGCTTTGATCCACAGAACACAATGTTCTGTTTGCGTGTGCGTGTTTGTGGTTGTATAATCCTCATATTTCTTAATAGTTGTGTAGTTCTCTCAAAATTAACTATGATTAATTTCATTTGCTTCTAATTTTTAATATCCATTAGTAACTTACATGGGTAAGTCAGAATCATCCAGTTCATCATTCCCACCACAGTTTCCTCCATCGCTAACTCCTTCATGCTTTACAATTTGAAGTTTTTCATTCTGCTTTTTCTTCCACTCCTCCATTCGGTCTTTCCACGCCACACTCCCATACCCATACGCTGCAATGTCTTTCTTAGGGACCATTGGTCTAGGTTCCACTGAGACATTCAAAGTATTAAGATTACTGCTGGAGGGATAAAAACATTACAAGAATGCATGGAAACACAAAGAAGCAATTTAAAAACAAAAATAACTTACATGAAGAGGGATCAGAAAAAGGCACGGGATGGACTCCGTTTCCATGACCCATATACGGAGGTACAATAAGAGCATGTCGATTGGAAGAAATTTCAGTGTCCTAAAACAAGAAATGCATCACAGTAAGGCACTAATCAAATGACAGGGGCATACAGAAACAAGCATGCACCCATAATTGACGGGACAACATTGCAATTTCTGGAATATTTACCTCTTCACCATAGGTCAAGAGTGGGATTTCAGAACCCAAAGGAGAGGATTCATGTTCTGAATGTGTGGGAATTCTGGCATTGTAGTTGGAACTGCGGCCAACGTTAAGGCGTGCAGACAGGACAGACTCTGCAACTTGATGAGGGCCCAAGGCATCAAGATTCCCACAATTGAACTCATTGTCCAAATCATCAATGTCATCTTCTTCTTCGTCACCTTCAACCCTAGGACTACCTGCAAGTTATTTCGATACTTAAGACAAAGTTTGAAACTTTAGTGGGAAATTGAACTGAATTTAGAAAAATGCAGAACAGACACACCTTTGATGCGTTTGTATCTGGTTTTACAATGTGGACAAGCCTGATTTCCTTCTCTTCTCTCATACTCATAACAAGGTCTGCACACAGGGAAAGCACATTCGTTGCAGGCAACAAAGGGCTCTCCATCAACTGTAAGTTCAATCTCATCTCCACAAATTTGACATATTTGCCCACTTAATTCTTGCACAGGCTGTATCTGTAAGAACCCAAAAGGACGTTAAAAAGGGCGGCATCAAACATATAATACAGATGATGAGCCGAATACACAGCTGAGAAAAATCTTATCATCATCACTATAATTTTTTAGTGACAGCTTTCAGAACCTTTCAAACCCCCTTCATACGCCCGTAAAGTGTATATCTATCGTTGTAATGGATGATCAACTTCCCACTTGTCAAACCAAAGTAAATTAATAACAAATCACAAGGTAGTGTGCCACTGGTACAAATGTTATGAGTTATTCCAAAATGATTCAACAAAGTTCAACTACACTATCATTCCTACATTTCATTTCAAATTTGCGCCGGCTCATCCAACCAACACACTAATTCGATCAGCTACCGTTTCTCGCAAACTTGTTCTGAAATAAAGAATAAGATTATTCTTTCTAGCTCACTTTTTCTTTCCTATATCCATGCTCCTTGACTGTGTTACAATCTCATAATTTCAAACAAGCTAAGATCTTGAAGCAAAAAAGTATTGAAATTCCTTAGAGCAACAAGTGTCATATAACCTGATCAAATTACTTTCTCAATGGTAAACAAGTTCTAACAAATAATTAATAAAAAAAATGGAGATTTCAGAATGCTGACAGACTGACTAGTGAAGATAAAACTGCCCACCAAAAAACCCCAATCCAAAATCAGTATTTCAATTGAAGGACAACCAACAAAAACCGTAATTGATCAGAACCCACATTTTTTAATAACAAAAAAAAAAAAAAAAAAAAAAAAGGAAAAAACAAGAAATAGAAATTGGGGGTACCCGTGAATTTTCATCTGCATTGATGAGCACAAACTCGTTCCTGTTATGAGAACCAGCAACAAGTCTTCCTCTTGTGTCCATCACTCAAAGCTCCGATCTTTCACTCACTCTGCCGCCCCCCACAGCACCCCCACTTTTGCCATTCACACCCCAACCCAAAACCCAACCCCGCATTTAAAAAAGAATTGCCAGCCGGTCCACTGTCTGTCAATTCATTCCAGCTGTCGCCTGCCTACCTTCTCTCTTTATCTCTTCTTATTCGCACACGCACACAGAGAGAGTACGTAGGTGGGAAATCAGGAAGCGTAGGAAGGAAGGAGAGGGAGAAGAAACCGTAGGGACAAAGATTGTCTCCCCAACCATTTCCCTCCCCTCCTATCTTTCTCAGCCGTTCATTCCTTGCCAAGTTGATTTAAAGCGCCAGAGTTCGCCACGTCACTAACAGTACTCCTCACGCTTCGTTTACGCTGCCTTTCCCGCCTCTTCCAATGTTCCAACCAATTGATCTTGCCTTTGCCGCGAAATGTTTTTCACATTTGCTCCGTTGCATAAAAACACTTTTTTTTTTCTTTTTCTAGAAGGGAAACATTTTTTAGGCTCGGGAAGGTTATGAAAAATTTCACATTATTCATAACCACAGTCAAGTTGATTCACCAATTTGGAATATTAATCACGAGATCTTTGACAATTTTTTGTTTATTGGGAAGCCGTAGTTCATGTCTTTACTATTGAGTCACTTGCTGGTTAAAAAAAAAAAAAAAAACTCTGTTTTCTAATTAAAAAGTAAACAATTTGCGTCCTTTTTATTTGTTTGTTTCTTCTAATTCCAGAGTTTTGATTAAATTCTTTGTTTTTCATTTGTGAATTTAAAGCTCTATTTTCCTTTTTATTTTTATTTTTTATTATATTGGATTGCTTTTTATGACTTTACAAGTCCACGCCCTCGATAACCCAAAGTTTTGGACCTTTTGGTCTATTTGGTATTTAAAAAAAGGTAGAAAACAAAAAAAATTAGAATTTAAGTTTTTTATTGGTTAACAATTAGAATTTATTATTTTTTTTTGGGAGAACCAATTAGAATTTAAGTTTGATGGAAAGATTTAGGAATATGGAGGACAGGGAGGAGGAGTGAGAGTGACATAAAGATTCCAGAGAGGGAAATTTAAAGACAGGCGCATGCAGCTTTCTTATTAGTACTAGGATCTGCTCACGCGGCTTGGATTGGATTATGTCCGGACTCTATGTTTTAAGTGTGTACATTATTTTGTCGTTTTTCTACTAAGCTAAACAACAAAACATTTATTTTAAAGAGTTAAATTAAAAATAAAAAATACACCTCTAATAGATTATATACAAATCTATAATATAATAAATGAGCAGTCACTCTTTAAATTTACACACTAACTTTTTTATTAGCTAAATAGGAAGAAAAAAAACACTCAAAACCATCATGAGATGGCCTAGTGGTTGAGAATGAGTTACAAGCCTGCATTCCACACGACACGTCCTGAATTCGATTTCTGGCACTGATGAACCGCACAATGGTGGTCAGGGGAAGACTAAAACATAAAATTTTTAGCCCAAAAATATTAGTGAAAATTTAGGTTTTAACTCAGAAACAACTTTTCTGCTCCAACCCTTATGGGTTAAAATTTTAGCCGCAGATTATTGAAGAATAAATTTAGGCTAATTTTTTTTAATTAACTTTAAAAAAATTATGTAAACTATCATAATTTAATTTTATGAACATTTTAACCTAAAAACATTTAGATTTTGACAAATATTAAATAATCACTAAACCTACACATGAAACACATACAAAAGCAATTAAAACAACAAAAACATAAACTAAATTAAATGTGGACTGTTGGATTTAAATTAGACCATTATATTTTTTTTAATTTTTTTTTTTTTTTACCATTAGATTTGATCATATTCAATCTCAGTAATTGGATTCAATAAATTTATAAATATAAAACAAAAACATTTAATCAATGGCCCATTTGAATTTCAGCCTTTGACTAACTAAAAGAGTCGTTGGGCTCTATTTTCTTGGCTGACATGTGGGCGACACTGTGACAGCCCATCCCGAATTATTTGTATCGATGGTGTGAAATCTCTATTTTACCTTTGAACATTTGCGGTGCTGTGTGGTTTAAGTTTTGGATGTGGACAATATGTTAAGTCCCTAATATTTTGGAACTAATTAGGAACTTAGCTATTTGTGGTTTTTGGTTGGTGACCAAGCTAGGCCACACACATACACACTCACACATACCATACACACAAACACTCAGACCTTTCTCTCTCTCGGATTTTCTGGCATTTCCATACAACCTGTACGGACAAACCTCCAACCAACCAGTTCAGGCACGGATTGAGGTTTTAAAGTTAACATTCAAACTCCTTGCAAGCCTAGGAGTTGATTTATACCTTTGTTTGGACTTAAAACCTTCGAAAACCCTAGTTTCTCGCAAGCTCCGATTTGGATACTGTTCATGCAATTGTGATCGTGAAGTTTTTAGAAGTTTGTAAGCTTCTAGGGAGCTTTAGAATGTCTTCACGATGCTTGGAGAAGAAAAATGAAGTGTTTTGGATGTCGGGAAGTTGAGTTTGGTGAGTTTGAAATTTTGGCCGGATTATCAAGGGTTCTTCGGCGAGATACCGTGGATTTCAAGGCTTGAAAGTGGTAAGTTTTGTTCTGCTCATTGAGAGCTTCATTTTGGTGAAAATTTCATGAATTTTGGTTGAAAATCGAGTGAGATATGAAGCTTTGAATATTTTTCCAGTTTTCGGCAACGCAGACGGTGGCCAGCGGCGGTTCCGACGAGGATCACTAGAGAAGACGAAGAATATTTCGTCAACTCTGATGGAATATACTAACGGCGTTAGGTATATTTAACGATATATTCCATTTTTGGACGGAATATTCCCTAACGCCGTTAGGGTTTCCGTATGTGTGCCAGGCACGTGGGTGGTCGGAAAATTTTTCTAAAAATATAGGGATGTTTGTGGTGTTGAGTAGATCACGTTGGTATATTCAAACACCCCATTTGAGCAATGTATGAGAAGTTATTAGCTAGTTTTGTGTATGTGCTTGAAATTAACGTTTATATAGTTGTGTGGCATATAGGTGAAACCTATCCTGAGGATGAGCGGAGTCAATCAAGGCTTGGGGGCTACGACCCTTCCATATACCAGTGAGTAGGCTTATGGTTTTCCGTATGTACTTATATACTTGAGATTTTCCCAGAAAATCGATTTGAATGAAATTATGTTGAAATGCCATGCCTATTGATTTATGTTTAGACTATAAATTTGTATGATATGTGTATATTGTGATTTGACTCGTTGGACACTCAGGTAAGTACTTGGTGAGTTGTAGACTATTTATGTGAATTGAGATTATGTGAGATGTATTGAGAGCTCATAAACCTGCACCCTGGTGTTAGTGCTCCCGCCCAGAGTTAGGGCACAGTCCTTCACGTGATGTTCACCTCCTGCATCATACGCTCACCTTGGATCCAAGTTAGGTGCACAATCCTGTCGCACATACCACTATAGGTGGTTCCAACTCGTAGATGACCCTCGATTATTCGCACAGTCTTCACATGATCGTAGCACTTGAGCGTATTTATTTACACCCAGTGCTATCGTACAGACCACTTTAGGTGGTTCCGACTCGTGTGCAGGTATATTTGTTGAGATGTGGATTTGAGCCATACAGGTCACGTTAGGTGACTCTGGTTGACATATCATTTTGCATTGATTTATATCACCTGGCTTACATGTTTTATGCTGAGATATTTGACATGGCATATATGTGGATTTTGCTAATTCGAGAATGGTTTCGATATATGTATGTATTCTATTTTCTGGGAAATTATACAGGTTTTACGGCAAGAGGTTAGAACTTTTGAGAAATGAAGTGATTTTGAAAAGCTTTGTTTTTGCCTACTCACACTTTTTGTTTTGCGCCCCTCCAAGTTCTAGTTAGGAGTGCTTTTTGGTGGCTTGCGAGGAATCCATGACAGCTCTGACAGATTATCACCATGGTATGGTTACCCTTGGGTGTTGTATAATTAGTTTTCGTCTTGCTGGACTGCACTTAGGCTACTTATGCTCTGATTGTGAATTCATACTTATTTCGTCTTGCCCCTTATCTTTTAGTGCTCTAGTTAGTTTAGTTTTTATTCATTCGCATTTCTTATGTTATTATTGCTTCTGCACTATGCACATGGCTACGTCACCCTCACGTGATGGCCAGCACGCCTTGATTTTGGTTGGGGTATGTCAGTCTGGTATTAGAGCCTAGGTTTGGCAGTCCTGCATATTTGGTGAATATTCTAATTATTTTGGTGTCTTCTGTCATAACTATGCCGCCTCGTAGAGAGTCACGTTGTTCAGCTGAGCCTAGTTTCCCCGATATAGCTCAGTTAGGGGAAGCTATAGCTCATGCATTCAGTTTTCGCTTCGTCCTTCTTAGAGGACTCCTTTGGAGACTATGTATAACTTAAAGTTGGATAAGTTTAAGGGCCATGAAAGACATGAAGGGGCATAGCGGTGGCTCGAGCATCTTGAAAAAACTCTCCGAGTGGTGCAAAGTCAAGGGAATCTTCCTTATGAAAAGTGGATCGAGACGATTACATGGTTCTTAGGTCAAGAACCAGCATCCTAGTAGGAACATGAGGTTTATCATTTGACCCCAGAGGAAATTGCTGATTAGGAAGTGTTTAAACGGTTGTTTCAGAAAAGGTTTGTTCCCCCTGAGTATATTGATCGTAAGAAGCAAGAATTTACTCAATTGAAACAGGGGAAGATGACAGCGAATGAGTATTACAGGAGATTCACTGACTTGTCTCGTTATCATTTGGATATTGTTGCTAATCCGGTTGAGATGCTTCGTCGTTTCAGATTGGGTACTAAGAAGAACTAGCGTTCTATGACGATCACTACCCCTTGTGCTTCTTACTAGGAGTTCTATGAGATTTTGTTGACGATTGAAGATTCAGAGAATATGCCTAGTGATAGTGAGGAAGAGGAAATGACGGCAATCAGAACTTGAAGCGAAGTGGAGCTAGTTCCAGTTCTTCTAGCAGGGGTTTTAGTGCCACTGGTCAGGGAAGAGGTGGTAGATTTTCTGGGGGTCCTAGATTCCAGAGAC